TAATGAGTAGATGTCGAAGTGTTTAGTTAAAATGACTTTCGAAACATATTGTTTGTAAATTTTGCAGTACTAAGGTTCGAAAACCTCGACAGGGACAACACCCGAACGTGAGGCCCCCCACTCGTATACGTATTGTAAATAGTTTTAATACATATTAAAATGTCTTTGATATCTACACACTGAAAATCATTTTTACACTCTCTGGAAGGATATCTGCAACTTTACAGTATCTCCTAGTCTGACTCGTCTTCACGTATGAGGTCTCCTCTGGCTAGTCAGACTCCTGTGTGGCGGCAAACAAAGCTAAAAATCATCGACGTCTGGAGTCACTCCAATTCTAGTATCCACCTTGCATGCGCTAGCAATAACCTATTCTCATTGATTAATCATCACACAATTTTATTTGGTACCGTCCAAATTTATGGACGGGCACCTCATCGTATTGGTAAACCTTGATGAACGAAAGTTCGATGATTACCTCGATAATACAGAATCGATCACGTGTGTTATCTTTATTGCCTATCTTGAAAAACTAATTACTGGAAAATGGATCAACAAATATTAACAGCGCGTTGGAATCAGCACTCGGTGGCGCTACCTATGTCTTGGAGTCCTGCAGCTGTCCCTTTTATAGAAGCTTTTCTATGCCAAAAACAGCTATCACACGTCAAGCGAAAAAGGTTCGCAATTGGTTTGTAGTTATAATAGGTACGGTTGGGCACTCCCTGCAAGAATTTTCGATTACAACGAAAACAGTATTCAAATATAACTATAATTTCTTTAGAATACCAAAAAATAAACGAGGAAAGGATACAGAAATGTCCTGGTCTTCATTTGTAAATGTTTCGCGTTTTTACCTTTGGAATAACTTGATGGCTTGAGAGCAACGGGCAAGTCGCTCAAAGCTCATCAACCGTGTGAAAGGTACAAGTAGCAAAAGACATCGTCACTTCTTTCATTTTACGAGGCGGGGCACTTCCGCTGATTTTTTTCCGCTCCCCTGGGCAGCTTCCGACATGGCAAATTAGCATATATTTTTTTTGTTGCTTTATTGCAAGAGCAACTGGACTGTCAAAAAACTAACAAATAAAGCGTAGCTGTATTGCATTTCTAATATTGTTAGAGGTAGCTGAGTATCAAGTGAAAGAGCATGGCGTGGAACAACATTGAGGCAGTATTCTTTAATGAATTGTTACATATTGAAGTGTACCAACGGGCAAGAATTATAGCATTGTAAACGTCTATAATACTGGTCAATGACAGATTTTAGTCGTCCAGTCCTTAATGGCGTTCATCTGTAACATAACAGCGGTAAACGCAGGTTTTCTGAAAGGGAACGTTTCGGTTCGATTATGCCTGTCTAAAGTTGCGATTCTGTTAAAGCCATTTGAGATTTTGTTACTGTTTTTCCCAGAAGAAATTTGTCCTAATGGCAGATGATAGTTTACAGCGGATCAAATGCAGTTTAGAAATTGTGTTGTCAAGAAATGAGTCGAGAACGTGTCCAGTTGGTGGCTTGGCGGAAGGTACGGTATGGGCACCATGGTGCTAATCTAAGGTCTTCATTTTGGCAAGCGGGAATATAAGGCAAGTCGGTGGTAAGAGCGCGGTTTAACCATGGGTGCACTTTCGAGGACTTTCTACGTACAGACGTGGCTGCCGGTGATCTGGCCGACTACGGTTGCTTGTGGCCAGTCGTGGTCCCCGCGTAATCTCAAAACGGAATGTAACCCACTACTACTAAAATTTTCGCTCAAGCTTCGTTACGGTAATCAGTGTTTGGTTGAACTTTTTTTTATTGTTATAAATGAACGTTGGTTTTTGCATGCTTTCGAAAAATGTAAGTATTATTCTAGAAGTACTCGCGAACTTCATCCGGTGCCCATTTTACCTTTTAGTGTGGTCGGTTGCAGAGATTTCGATGCGGTTACCATATCATCCTGCCGCATTAGTAGGTTTCCTTCTGAGGAATAACCTATTTCATACCACCTATCAAATTAAGTCTCTGCTTTCTTTACCACACTAGTTGTCTTATTGCGCTCGTTACAACTGGTCCACTACCCCTTGAGCGTTACTAAAATAAACTGGAATAACAATAATCTGAGGTGCATTTAATAATTAACTGTTTCTATGCATATGTATAAACATGAGATGAAGCAAAAGCGATAGTTGTGCTGGTCATATCGCTCACTTATCCGCGTAATCATTAAGCCGCTAGAACTTAACGTAGGTAGGTTGAAAATGTTCATACACATAATACCTGAACCTTGCAGTGCTTCGAGGGTTATTAAAAATGCCCAACTCAGCAATCTATCAATTTAGAATAAATTACCCAAAGCGAGTTCGTAAATGGTAGATTTGACGGTGACCTTGATGCAATGTAAATTTTCCAAATGAACCAGGATAGCAATTATTTGGGGTAAAAGAGAGGTTTACATTGACTTAAGCCTTGGAAACTATTCAGTTGAGATCGAATATATAATTTTGGTAAAATACTTAATACACATAAATAAGAGCATACTGGGGTTTCCAAAAATCCGCAGTGAAGCTTCGCCCAATTTTCAATGGAAATAATTTGCTTAGACAACTTCAATGCATGACATATTGGCCGTTATTATAGATAACCCTGGTCCATTTTTAGGCAATTTTTTAATTCCATGTTTCTGGAAGAGCCTATCTTCACTCAAGATGGACTAACAAATATGGTTCCTCCTTCTCTCTAAAGATACAAAGTTTTTGCGAAAATCGGCAAAATGATAATCGGGAGCAGCAAGATTGAGACTATGAGCTGGGTAAGGCAATACGTTCCAATCAAACTCTCAAAAAATGTTTCCGACTCAGCAACAATGTGTAAAGCTAAGCATTGTTATGATAAAAAATGACTCCTTTCTTATTGGTGATAGTTCAGACCTTCTCGTGGATGCATGCTTTGAACTGTCAAGTGCCCATAGTAATTAGCGGAAATAACAATTTCAGAAGAGCTTAAGAGAAAGTACTTTTCTGCAATCCACCAAATGCACGGCGTTACTTTCTTTGATTAATATGACTTTAGTTCTCGCTCAAAAAAACATTAGCACGCTTAGTGATCTGTCCTACCCATTTTTCATCACCCGTAACCATCTCTGCAAGAAAAAAGTTGTCCTCGTTTAATTTTCGCAAGATAATTGGCCTGTAGGTTTATTAGGTGGTGATCTGTTAAATTATGAGGCACTAAAATGTAGGTTCGATTAGGATAATCGTTCCTTGCCAGATTTTTTCAACAGTCCGACGGGATGTTTTCTCAGAAAATCTAATACAAGTTCCTACAGTCGAAAATTTAACGTCCTCATCGTAAGTGGGTCGATCTTCAGTTGGCTTATTTTGATACTTGAGTCATGACTTCGAATAAAAGTCGAACTACTTGAGTCGACGCACCCGCAATCCTTTTCACGAGTTTGGGCAGCACCCAGCTCTTCCCAGAAATAGAAACCAAAACGAAAACTGACTTAAATACATAGTTTTGACAACCCGGTCTTAGGGGCCTTTGCGACTTTACTGAAATGTGCAACTGTGGGTGGGAGACAACGTTGCACATAAAACAGCCTTTCTTTCTTTACTCAATATTGCTTGTGTCGCTTAAGGGTAAACTAAAGAAAATATTTACGGATCCATTAGACCAGCTACTAATTGTAATAGACGCAATTTCGAATGACGCTATAGCATCCATGACACATTTGCTCACTGCAATAGCTTGGCCGAGGGTTTATTCCGAAGGTCGAATATGGCAGCCCAGTATCTTTCTATAATGTAGGGGATGAACCCTTCTACACAACATCAGAGGAAGGAACACTATTAAAAGTTCCGATTCCAAGCTCCCTCCAATGTGTGAGACGCAAGACGTTGGCCAGTCCTACTATCCTCTAACTTCTAACCATGAGCTTTTTGCAGTACGTTAGTATTGGCTTTACCACACTTCCATCAGAGCCTTGATGTATGTATGATAAGTGTGACATGCCTGAGTGAGCACTCTTCTTGACTATGACCTTAAAACCACGCAGAACCGGACGCAGATATGAACTGTCATTTATTTTACGAAATCAACACAGCAGGGTCGAAATATAACCATAGCTCTTCCTCAGCAACGTTACACATCTGAACTTAACACTGCAGTATTCCAACATACCATTAATTATTCAAACTCCACCTCCCTGGTTTAAACAGCAAACATACACAAATCACTGTAAAAAACAACAATTTTACGCGGCAAACGACAAAATACGTGGACGAGCTTTGAAAAAAGCGACAATATTTATAAAAATTTAACACCATACAAAACAAATAGAATGCCAAGACTGAGAAGAAGAGAAAAATCAGCCTTATTAATTGTATATTTAGTTAAAAAGTAGCTGAATTAGCCTCCACATTACTTGAAAGAAGAAGGCCTTGTGAAGATAAGGTGAATAATTATACTAACTATCAGCGTTTTTGTGCCAGCGCTGTTATTTAGCAAACCTCTCAATCATTAAAGTTTTTCGAAATCCTGAAGATGTGACAACTTCTTTAAGTCCAAAGCATTCTTAAGAACGATTAGCGTCTTCTCGTCGACCTAAGTGCTAATACCAGTGAGACAACTTTGCTATATCATTGGCCCTTTTCTGTTCCTTTTACGCTAAGTTACTTTTTTTCTCTGTGGTTACTACCCCTCTCACTTTCTCGCTTTATACATGTGTCCTTACACAATTTATGTTTATTGACATATACCATAGATAGAATTTTAGAGTTTTAGAGCTCTTCGACTAAAGCAACAGAAGACGTTTCTGAAAATAGATAAGGTTTTGGCATACGAGTTAGCACAAACACGCATTGAACAATCTCGTACATCTACAGACAATCACTCTCGTTACATTTCAAACAGTTTAAACAAACTCCACAGTAAATCCAGCTTTTGAGCAACCCGTTCTAGTTCGTGTAGCAAAGCAAGGCTATCGCGTGTTAAGCGTGTGTCCCTTTATGTGGTCACTTTACCTGATTATACCAACTTACGTATCACATAATCTGAGTTCTTCTCTTCTTCGGTAAAATAGGCTCTCCCTCAAAGCTAGAACATAAACGTTTGGGGCTACAAGGAACGGCAAACAAGATAGCGGCATGCTTACTACAGTGGCAACGCGCAGAATACCCTCATTTTTGCTTCGCAGACTCTGTTTGTACATCGAGCCTGCGATTTCAACGGAATGGACTTTTCCTTAAGTTAAGAGCACAAATCTAGTTTGGAAATCAGCAAGACAGTGGCGTACATATTCGCTGTTACCGGCTATTGTTGCCTTTGCAAAGCAACAATACTCGTCCAACGCAACCGCTCAAACACGTTATAAACCGAAACCAATTAATGTACATATTGGTTGGCAATAAGGCTAAGTCGCAAAAGAGCACCTTGAATGGTTGGCTAACTGAAAGTCGCCCTTGGTGGTGATCGATAGGAAGAAGTCCAAATGAGAAGCTGAGATCGAGTAGATCGTAAAAGAAGGGAAATGGCCGCTGGAAGAAATCGTGAGGCAGACGTATTTGCAATGAGTAGCCAGCCCTCAGTTAGTTCGATGATGGTGTAGGGTAAACCTGAAAAACCTTTAAAAAAAAGTTACACGAGCGCTTTATTTCGGAGGAGACTAGCCCGTTCCGATAGTTCGTTGGTCATTACAGAAAGGCTGGTAAGACGTTTAACGGGTTCACAAGTGCCAAGTGATCTCTGTCAGCTTAGCTGGGTTTGAAACTCGAGTTTATTGAGTTTCAAACCCAGCTCTCGAAGAACAGCGAGATTAGCTCATATTCTCACTGCGGTAGGAGTAGCTTATGGTGGTGGGATCTAAAGTCTTAAAGGCACTGTGCTAGCCCCCTACTATATAGGCGCTATCTCGCTTTGAATCACTGATCAGCCCACGAGCTTGATCGCCACAAACCTCTATAACGATACCGATCTCACAGAGCATCAACTGGCGAGCTATACGTGGACACCATTGTCAACGTACGGCAATGAGCTTGGCGGGTGAACAACTTTTTATTCAGGCAAGGCACGGCTTACCGTTGCGGGCCAAAGAAATTACGACCCTTAATTCGGAAAACCGCTGATCTGATGCCTTTTAAATACAATCAAAGAAGACTGTTTGATGCCTTATGGCACGTTGGTTTTCGGACAGAAGCTAAAGCACGAGAACGTACGCGGCTACGGCGTGTGCCAACTTTCGAGTAAAAGCTAAGAAAATAGATCTCTTTCTAGTTTGTGGATAACGGATCTGTGAATCCGCTACTCGAAGAAAGGAAACAGCACCAACTTTATTGGGCAGGATGGATAACCCTCATTACTGCGACTACTATTATCGGAACAAAATTATGTACGTCAGGTTTCGTTATATGGGTTTGTTGCTGCGGCGTCGCGCTAGGCGCCCGGGGTACCGTGGAGGGCATAAAGTTAGACAACCCATTCATCCATTTTCGAAATAACGTGAACTTACCTGACACCTGCACGAAACGAAAGCTACGCTCTCAATGTGACCCACTGAGCAATAACGGATGCAGGCTGCAGAGTGAACACTCCCGCCGAATAAGCGTGACCGAACTGCGAACTGCAATGGATAAAATAATATAATATGTACTAAGTATGTATAAACACACGTCTACGATTATATAAGTTCAAAGCAAGTAAGAGTGAAGCACTCGTTCCGGTAAGCCCACGACAATTGCTTTTTTTTTTTTTTTGCTGTTTTGATATATAAGTGAATATATGAAAAATTGCCTATCAATAATTTACTAAATAAAAGTAGTTGACTATTTTGCAGGTATTTGGGGTTTCATTTGAACTGGCCGACAACTTTAATTTTCGAAAATCGATAAATAACGGTACTTAAATTTCCACCCTCTAAGGATATATTTTTGCATATATTGGCCATACAGACAAGCTAGTAAAACAAATTAGGGAATAGGCAGTTCGAAAGGGCTCGACAACCAGAGGAACCTAATCTACGGGGCTGAAAAAGAAGAAAATGTAAAAAAGGAAGAGTGAGATAAAGAGAGTGTTCAGCATATTCTATAATCGCTAAATTAAATTCTAAAGACTAAAGGATATTTCAAATCTTGTATATTATAAGATATCACTTTCAGTGATGGTGTTGATATGTTTGCTTACCGAACACGTGATGGTCTAAGTTCAGCCTGCCATAGGACTTCTTTGGTGCTGGGAACCAGTCATCTGAAGGAATATTTACACTAATATTAGAAAATTTATTGACATTATACACCAGAATAAATAGAAACTCAGTATAAAATAAATAATGTATTCTTCTGTTATTCATCTATATATTGATATACACGAAGTAGATATTTCTGGCTGTCGACGAAGGCCCTCATTGAGCATACCTGATCTATGTTCATTAACTTGCCTGATCAAGTGACGCTAGACAACTCAGAGAATTTTGATTCTTCCCCGTTAAACTTGATTCAGACGTGTGTATGTTTAAACATCACGAAATGTCAATTCGAAAGACGAAGAATTGAAACATAAAGTTAAAATGGACGCTAATTACAACCACAAACAGCTGTCAATAGCCCTAAACTATAAAACCTGCAGGTATTGCAGTTATATAGGCAAAATAGTAATAGTTTTTTTAACCCATTCTTCACGTACTCGTTAATTAATCTACAAAAAACAGACAGGATACGGTATCTAAGTTGAAATTTTTGCTTATACCTTATTTCTAAGACAGTATCTAAACAAGAATAGGTAATTCAACAAATTTTTTCCATGTGCCTGATGGTCGTCTGAATTCAATAGAAGTACCATCAACCGTGGTCATAGTTTTAATTCGAAACTCAACCAAATCGCTGGTTGTTTTAAAGATGTTCTTTCTTTAGTCCGTAATTAAATAAGTAAATCTCAAGCAATATCGACAGTTGTAGACTTATTAAAGTATCGCTCGAACACGTGATATACGAAAACTTACAGCGGACTAAAATTTTAAAATGATACCAAAGGTTTCAAAAATGCAAGGACATTAAACGGTTAAAAATCCAATTGTTGGAGTTTGTAGGAATTATCCAATTGGCAATTTTTTTCCTTCCCAAGACACCTGTTAATCTTTGTATGAAGAATTCAATCATATGAAAGGTGGCTCTTGGGACCGTTTTAATCATCTTTTTAACCGCTCTTTTGTTTTTCTGGTGAAAATATCCGCCGGATCTTTGAGAAGCCACATAAAAACTGGCAATAATGCAGACCATGGCTTTTGGAAGATATGTCATCTTAGACGAAGGAAGTACAACAAAAGTGCAAAGGTATTGGTCTTCAGCTGAGGCTGACTAATTTAAAAAATTTCTTATTAGTTGTATTATATTTTCATAGCAAAATTCTTTATTTATTATAGCCATTTATCTGCCACCAATTTCCCAAAGCCAAAAATTTTTGGTATCCTAATCTCGACTTGGATAGGCACGTGATTCATTCTCTTTTTCTGCTATAGATTTCGGTAAAAACATAAATTCAAATTTTATCACAATGGCTTTAAAGTACTCATCGGAACTCTTCAAAGCCTAAACAGATTCGGTTATATACTTTAAATCATTAACATATAACGATTCGTTAAAGCTGCAGAGCATTAAAGAGCATGGTAGAGAACATTATCTTCGCCGCGAGAAATTCTCAGCTAAACAACTAGTATGGATATTTAAAGTTAACTTTGTAGATGCTAAAGAAAATAAGCCTATTATGAAGTTGAGATGTTTGTGCTGTTACAAAATCGGGAATCTTTGTTTGACGGACGTGTTCAAAATTAATACTTAAAACAGTTTTGTTATATACTGCGGAGTTTAAGACCAGTCGTAGAATACATTACATTAAATCGTAACAAATAAGACACTGGCTTGCTTCAAAAACAATGCGTTAGGAAATAAACAGAAAAAGATAGATAGTCATACTCAACATAGTCTCATTCAACTCTCAGTAGATGGAGACAAAAATCTGAATTACGCTGATCCATTATCCAGATGGGTCCGCCAGTGGATCCAGACGCTAAATAGAACAAGGCGTTCTTCTCCACGTAAAAAAATACATACAAAATTTATGGATGGCTAGGAGCCTTAGTACATGTGCAAGAATCGCTGAGCCGAAAGCAATGTACGCTATTTAGGTGACAAGCGACAATAACTTAGTCAAAATGGTCATCCAACCTTCGAAAACGCTTTTTAACCTTCAACAAGCTACAGATATACTCGGTGCAGAATTCGCAAAAGTCGACTGGGCCTCGGTTTGCAGCGATGTTGTGCTAGTAAACAAAGGCCCCTAAGGCAAGCAAGAGCAGTGGGTTTATAAAGGTTCAAAGAACTTAATGTTGTTTAAGGTTCCAATGGCGAAGTGTCTCGCACGACCAAATTAATAAACGGTGTGTCTAGCATTTCAATACAGCTGTATGACTGGCTAGATTTATAGAAATGCTGTTACCACTTAATCAATGCTTTTTCATGAATTAACTTGTTTGTTTACAACGAAGCGCGTAAAGAAGCATGAAAGGCAAAACTTGTAGGAAACGTATGACCACGACCTAATCCAAACGGAGCTCGGCATAGGAGGGCTAATTCCTGCAGAAATCGGAGGACGCGTCCCACATTCAGCGAGCTCGGTTAGTACAGGGGCATACAGAAAGTTGGTGGTGGAAAAAGCTTGAGAACAATTTGAAATGCTATAAAACAAACATTTCACCTGATGAAATTAAAGAGATTGACATGTAACCGTACAGTTTCTGTGAGGCACTGACATCAGTCGTCAAGTTCATTGTCAATCGGATATTTAACGTTGTATCTTCTTAGATTCCAAAAACTCTGAAAAATAGCTATAAAAAAAATCTATTACAAATAGGTACACGTAAGTCTAATAAACTATTTTAAAGCATACAGATACATTCTAGTTAGCCATAGATTGTGATGGACAAACCTTGCGCTGTAATAGTCTGAGATTTCATGATATCTTGAGCGAAGATCAGAGAGGTAATATATATCACGCATATCGAATATAGGTATCAGAGTTTTTATACTGGTCAAAGGAGCGCTACACTCTCGTTTGATTTTTAAGAACTAGTATACCTATGCTAATGGCTAGCTTCATAAGCTTGTTTAATTGTATTGGGAGAATTCGTGAGCATGTTCAGGTTCCGTTTATTTCCATAAAAGTTCGCCCTATGCGGGCAGGAATTACAAAAATTATTTTTTATATTATCAGTGCTTTAGAGAAACTGCATAGCAAAGGCATCTTTTAAGATCGTTTTTGGAAGCTGACAAGAGGCTGTACTTCAGTCTCCGCATAAAAGATTGGTATATGGGAGGTAGGACTGTATCAATGAGAAATAGATTTTTTTTTTAAAAGTCGATTGACAATATGATCTTTAATTTGCATTCACGGTCGACCCCTTAATTTTAGCTTAAAACTTTGAATATGTATGTTCGATCAGAGATCAGCTTGGTATATATATCACTGTCAAATACTCATAATGCTCAACCTGTTTTATATAAACACAGTCATTTGTATTAAGCAAGTGTCTGATGCGGTGACCGCGTCTTTTTCCCGTATAGTTGGTGGGTTCGGAGATAACCTTACGTTAGTTAGTACTTGGGAAAGTACGTATGCATAACGTCTGACTTCATTTGGTAAGGCAGACAAAGATATATATTTACATATCATACAATTCCATAAGATAGTGTTTTAGACAAATACTGCCTCTACTTAATTATCACACATTTAATCAAGCGAAGATTTTCGTACATAAAAGCTAAATCTTTAAAAGTAATATCATTTCGTAAACTAAGAATTTCTCGTTAGAAGTTACGAGCTTACAACCTTTATGCATTTTATTATATATATAAAAACGAAAGTTTATTTTAGCATAGCACTAACTCCGTTCGGGTGTTTCGGATTTTAGCTTCACGCACGTAATCCTAGGTATCTCCGCCTTCAATGTTTAAATGTTTTACATGAAAAACTAAACTTGGTAAATTTCAATTTGACATGCTAATATCACCGAGTCAGGTGTTTATGAAAAAAATAACATATTTTATTATCTATAACTAAATTATATCTCGTTCGGAATTTTGTTGTTTTAGCGGTAACATGCCATATCGACGTTTCACGGTCCTGTTGGTGTGAGCGCGTCATTTTCTAAGTTGTATGACCCTTAAGAGAATTCACCTTGAACTTCAGATTACCCTGTATATGCATTTACCATCTTCGGAGCACTTCTAGTAGGCTTGCGATTTCGGCGTTTACTTTTCTTGACGAAAGAACGTTACGTGAAAACGATACGTCTTTTTGTTTACAGCCCATGAATTACGGAAATCAGCTTCATCTTTATATACTGGCTTAACCATGAAGGAAGAACGAGTTAATAGTATTACAGAGGTGGCCAGGTAGCAATGAGAGCACTAGACTATGAATCAACGCGACTGAACTAGCTTCTACATTGCTGAAGAATAGCCGGATCAGCTCACTGGGGACAGTGTGGTCTAGATGGGTAATGCATCTACTTTGCCATGGTAACTTTCTCTGGCAAACGTACCGCCATGCTGATCCAAATCCTAGCGTTGGCGAAAGTTTCTGCCACGTATCGATAATTGGGAAGGTAGGGTGCTATTTTTACGGTAATATCTGCTTGTATGGTTGCCATGCCGCTTCATAAGTCTGTTACAAGTCCACCAAGACTCCGGTCAGGCTTCTAAAAGAGGCAAGTCCTCAGAATCAGCGATTCGAAAAACTCGTTCAGCTAAGACAGATAGCTAATAAAAATGAACAGAACGAACATCTAGGTCGGTATTTAGAGACCTGGAGCGCCTGAGAGCAACATAAAAATGGAATTACTAAAGCAAAGAGATCAAAACGAGCACAGTAAAGTAAGGGAATAAATTGTACAAAGTGGTGAATCTACTGACACAGAGATGATCGAAGAGTAACAACGAGGAAACAATGATGGGATAACAAGAATTTGTAACGCCGTAGCGGCAGTTGTGCGGCAGAATGATACGCCAATAACAATGACTTCTGCTTAGAAAAAAAAAAAAAAAGAAGGGATTCATCCGGCAAAGAGCAGATTCAAACGAGTTTCAAGCTAGGATTGAGAAAATTATCAGGACAATATCAAATAGGGTCCGATACGACATACTCGATAAAAGGATGCAAAATGGCGTAACAGTTAAATGTTTTTATGAAAAAGC